TTGTACATTTCAAGAATAACAAAAATTACTAACTTGCGTATTACAAGAGAAAAGCAAATATTGCTAAACTTGCATATCTTTAAAATTTGCTAGCTTGCATGTTCTAAAATGATGAAAATTTTATTAAATTACTAGCTTGCATATCTCAAAATTGATAATTGCACTTCTCCTTTTTATTGATGACAAATGAGGAGAAGATATGGGATGATGTACTCATATGTTTTTATTATGCATGATTTTATGTTGCATGCAATGATATGATTGGTTCCTTCAGTATGAATGCAATAGTAAAATACTTATAATTCTCTGAATTCAAAGTTTCTATCAATACGACATATTAATAGAGGGAGTTAAGGTTAACTCCATCGCCAATTGGTTATTATCATAAAAAAAAGAGAGATTGTTGAATCTCGAATTTTAATGATGAAACCAATTGATAATGTTATGATCTAATCTGCGTTTTGAGTGACGCAAGACTAGCTTCGATCAAGAGAGGCAAATTAATTAAAGCAGGAAGAATATGATGTTGGGCCGGAGTTGAACATGTCAGGAGATTGGACGTTGGGCCGGAGGATCAGTCGACATGTCGGTAGAAGGCTTTGTGCCATGAGTTCGTGCATCGGGCTAAATGATTGGACATTGCGCCAAGGAGATCGAAAGTTATGGGTGTCAACATGCCGATTGGGCAATACGTCGAAAGATCGGATGAAACGCCGAAAGAACCAATGATATGCCGGATAATAGATGATTCATGCTTTGTAATAATTTGTCTACATCGAGTTAGTTTATATCATAATTGGGTTGGCTTAGAATGTAATTAGGCCGACTCAATTAGGGGCAATTGGGCCCAAAGTGGGGTTATTTTAGGCCAAGTGGAAGGCCCATTCAGTGATCCAAAAGTTGGGTCAAGCGATGGCATCGTTGATCTAGAAGAAGATACTGCTAGAGGCTCAATCTCTAAGACATAATCTTCAAGACTATATCAGGCGATGGTACCACTAGTCTGGACAGTGTTACTGCCTAGACACAATCTCCAAGTGATGGCATCGCCCAGTGTTAGTGATGCAAGTGGTGGCACCACCTAGCATAGGTGATGGTACCGCAAGTACCCTAAAAATCTGGATGAGACACTTTTAGGCTCCGAGTCTGAATCTATTTGGGCACTATAATTTTATTATTATATAAAATTTTATATAATAATAATTTTTATGTTTCTTTCTCGAATAAATATCTGAATTAATTCACTTCTTCCTGATACGGTGATCTTAGTTGCAAATGTGGCCTGTTGTACTTAACGAGTCTCGTGGCGGAGTATGCCTTCAATCACGAGTCTTCCAACTTCCATTTAGTGAATGTTGAGAATGAACATGCAATATGGTTGACTTCTTTTATGTTATCATTCACGTCATCTACAGTGAAACCGACGGTGCACTGTCTGGGTCAGATCTTGTAAGAAAGCTGCGTTATCACTGTCTTTGTTACGATGGACTCTATTGATATCAAGTTTACACAAGTCATCTATCGGGTCCATGGGAGATCATCATCCCCATAGGAAGAAGGAAACGATGCTTGTGCTGTTTATTATGACTGTCGGCTTCGATGAAGGACCCGACCGCCTGCAGCCTCGTTCGTCAACCAAACAGGAGGAGCTTTCATGACGCAACCCTTCAACCAAAACGCATGCACGAAAGGGCAGCCCGGAGTAGGAGTCTACGCGAGGAATGATTGTGGCGAGGAAAAGGAAGAAAGGCCGGCCCACCCGCACATGGGGGATGAGCTAATGCGAGGCCCCATGTTGCGGGGCGTTGGTACGACAGGTTAGGGGTGCGAAGGAAGGAGGGAGAGAGAAGATCTCGGAGGCCGTGGTTTCCTGTTCTGCCAGTGGCGACGGGGCACAGAGACGGCAAAGGTTGGAGAGGAAGGTGGTGGCAAAAAGTGGGTAGCGTACACGGCAAAACACGAACACACAGTTTTGTCTATAGCAGCCTGGAGAAAGCTGTGCCTTCGTATATTAATAAGATATTTGTTGCATCGAACCAGTGATGGATCGATTAATAGAGATGAGAAGAAGTCGGCGAGGAGGTCTTTGCTCTTGTCGACGCAGTTAGTATCGCTTGGTCCACGAGTTGGATCGGTCTGCATGTATAATTCCGATTAAAAGTATCATTATTTAAGAGCATGATAAGTTTGGTCGAATGGTTGGAGGCCTAAACTTACTGAGTATGAACTTGTGTACATAGAGAGATGGAACAAGGTTGAAAAGATATATCGCCTGGGTAGCTGTGGTGGTCTGTCCATGATGTCATGTATCAGGGTGTTAATAATTTGTATAGCGTCAGATGTTGAGGGAGGGAAGCTTCTGTGATCGTCTCCTGATTTAGTTTACGTATGATTTGGAAATAAGCATGAGTTAATAATAAGAGTTGAGTTGAACGAATACGGAATGAATAATAATGTCTTAAATTTTAGTAGGAGCAGTTGAATTGCTATGTAGTGGGGTTGATATTTAATCAAGTGTGATGGGCGGCACAGTGTGTGTGAATGATTGAAGGAACGACCGGTGGATGAGACGTTGGTGGTGTGGAACTTGTGGCTTAAGAAACTTCCACCTTCCTATTTCTTTTCTTTTCTTTTCTTTCTTTTCTTACATAAGAACACCATGTTTCTTTTGTGATATTAAAGAACTTCTTTCTTTATGTTCACGTGATCCCACTCACCATCTAAATTTAACTATTCAGAATACTATAATAATAATAATAATAATAATAATAAAATCATTAAAACCTTATTTATTTAAGATTGACTATATGAATTTTTATCATCTTTAAGATCCACAAAAAATTACAAATCTAGATATATTTTATTAATAATTTTTATCAAAAAATTTTAGATATTCTTTTTTTTATTATAAAACTAATCATGAAAGAAAAAAAATTATTAAATAATTTTGAACATATACGACTACATGATGTTGATAGAGATCGTATTTATAGTTTTTATATTATTAAGAATATTATGACAAATAATAATAATATAATAATAATTTATTATTCTTTTCTAAGTAATAATAGAATAATCAATCTTATAATATAGAGTAACAAATTAATTGTGAAAATAAAACTTTTGATATTTGTCGTGTTTTACACCAATATATACTAGAATCATCCTTAGGAGTTACTTCGAATATATATAGTTTATGATGATCAGACTACAATGATATATAGTGTATTAATATACTATATCATGAAATAAATTTCAGGACTGGATTTGACAAAACGTATTAAATTGATATACAGATACATAAGATTAAAGACCATAATTTATTACCCGTGGAGCCTTGTCATTCTTTTTTTATGATAGAGCTAGGTATATCCATTGATTAATTATTTGATTCATTTTAATCTTAAATTTTAAATAGTTTAAAATATAATTAATAATTTTAAATTATTTTTTTATAAAAATAAATTTAATATTAACAAAAGGATAATTCAAAATATACCACAAAGCTACTCTTCAAAATGATATTTCCTTAGTTTAAATTATTTTATTAAAATTATACTAAATTTATATTTATTTATAACTTAAAAATCATAATCTATTTTTTTATTTACAAAAAAATTTGGAGCTATTTTTAATAATTTATAATATCACCAATCTGCCCCATCGTACACGGTACGTCTCGATATATACTTACAGTTGGTTGACACACTAGTAAGATGAACCTTACTTCTAATATTACTTATTTTATTTCTGACTATTATTAAATTATCGAATATATATGATACCTATTCACAAATATATATTTTTAATTATCCAACACTTAATTTTATTAAATATTATTTATCTTAAAATTATCGTATAATTTTTTTTAATCTCAAAGATATCTAATGATCGTATAACAATGCTCCCTCATCATCATAGAATTTAAAATTAATTTTTATTAATTGATTGTTAATATAATAATATTTAAATTTTATTTGATGTGAATGTCACTTAAAAATATCGCATGTATATACCTTTTTAAATTAATATGCTTTATATTCAAGTCTATAAATAAGAAGCAAAAGTAATATATATTTCAAATACATATATTAACAAGGCATATGATCAACCTCTTTAAGAAAATACAGGTACGTATAAACATTAATTATGAACTCCTTAAAACTAGTCATAAATAAATAGATTTTGAAGATGACCGTGGAAGAAATTTTGCTACAGTAAACGATAAATTATAGTCTCAAATTAATCTCATAATTTAAATATATGAAGGTCTTTTATGAACATAAATTCAATAAAAAAAAGTATATATATATATATATATATATATATATATATATATATATATATGTGTGTGTGTGTGTGTGTTAATAAAGATTTTTTACTTATCAAGGAAGTAATTAAAAACATAAGATATTTTTTTTAAAATAAAAAAAAAATTTATTACATCAAACGTATATGATACTCATATATGTGAACTCGAACATAACATTTATCAGTTACACATTATCTAATCTAGATGTTTGATTTATTATGATAAATTAAAATTATTATTTTTAAATTTTTGAAATAAAAATAATAGTTATGTTAATGGTTCATAAATATGATTTTTTGATTTCATACGTGAACTCAAATATGGCATCGATTAAAGTTTTTATCAACTAAAAATATTTATATAGATTTTTAACCTTTCTTTATGATAAATGAGTATAGTATTTCATCAACCACTCAAATTGAAGTATCGTAAATATGATTTATATAATATCTGTAAACCGAGGCAAATCGGATATATCCACCCACCTTCGCACTTCCGCCAACAGTTGGTTCCCGAACTGCCCCAACGAAAGTTGAAGCCTTTTTGCCCCTTCCTCATCCCTCTCGGTTACCACCGTAACCACGGCCGGCGAGATCTGCGGACACACCGGAGCGGCGGCCGGAGATGTCTGATTCCGATGTCGGAGTGGCGGCACTGCGTTTTTGGTGGAAATAAAAGGTGGGGGGATTGGGGGGATCGATCGATTGGATGCAGTAAAGCGATCACGTTTTTTCTGGCCCTTTAGATTCCAATGCTTTGTCCTCAGCTGCTTTGTTCTTGCCCTTCGCTTCGAACTGTCGTCTGTCGCCCGATCTCTCCTCCCGGAGCTCGGTCGATCGCTTTCGATGCTTGGATGCAGCTTTGTTGGGTTGGGTGTAGTGCTAGGTTCTTTCCTTTCTCTTTCGCTTCAATACAGGGCTTTGGGCATCCCTGCTTCAGTTGTCCCGTAGACCGAGGTTTCGGATTAGATCAATCTACTTTTGATTTATCTGCTCCTTCTCGTGAGGATGTCTGAAATCTTGGCTTGGGTTTGAGGGTTATGGTGTTATATTTTAGGTGGTTTTAATTGGACATTATAGATTGTTGTTGGTGTGCTGATGGTGGTGTTGGTGTTGGTGTTCATTTCAAGAGCTTTTATGGGAAAAAGTTGAGCTTTTCCCCCCTTCTTTCCTGTTAACATTCGTCATATTCCAGGAAAAATTGCAGCTTTTTTTTTTCTTGCAGAGATTCCTTAGGAAATTGTGTTATTCTCTTTGATCGTGCCTTTTTTCCCGGAAATTCCTATAAATGCTATGTCTCTATGCTTTCCCCCTCCCTGTTTCTGTTCTTTTCTATGTATGGGGACTCTTTTCCCCCTTGTCATTGACTTTCTTGCTTGCTTTAGCCCAGACCCATCGAAGTCCTGGCTCTGTTTCATGTGCTACAGTCTGCCCTTCTGTCTGATAGAAGTTCAAAATCGCATCTTTCTATCGTCATCTGTCAGCTTTTTTTCTTTTTTGACCTTTTCGTCGTCTCCCTGACAGAGAAACTTGGAAAGCCGTCTTTTTTTGTACAATTTGAACGAGCGGAGGTCGAGGCTAGAATACCGGGTTCTCACCATCTGTCGAGTAAATCTAACGTGAAGAGTCCTATTCGCTGCAGTAACTTTAAGAACGAAAGCTCGGAAAACACATGCTGGACATTTGCGCTGTTATCAGCATTTCCTAAATATATTTCTTTGTTTTCTTGTAGCTGCAAGCCTAAAGTGAAACTCAGTTTCTTTGTACCTGTGGAGATGTTCTGCTTGATAACCCTGGTGAGTGATTTCAAGGTATTTTGCTTGAGAAATAGGTCGTGACCGGAAACCTTTTCTGATTCATGCCTCTCCCTTTCTCCATTGCATGCTTCCAGGCATTTAGGTGAGTGGGTTTCATAATAGGAAAGCACAGGATCTGAAAAAGCCATTTCCCGGATGTATAGGAAGGATGATCAACATATTTGACTTTAGTGCCGGTGTGGCTGGGAACAAGATGCTGACAGAAAGACCTCACAGAGATGGTACATCTTTAGGCTTTCTGTTCATTTACTCTGATGAGTCCATCATGAATATTCTTTTTCCAGATTTATTGTTAGTTTGAGCTCTTTGGATCATTTATGCTAGAGTTTTCACTTTTTAAGTTAGTCTTCATTGTAAGTGATTACTTTGTTAGTGTTTTAGACTTCTTGGAAGCTAGAGTCATGAAGCATAGTTTGCCGATTGTGGATGGCTAATCGGTTGTCTTCTGGAATTTTAGCTTTTTTCAAGTTGATGTGTTGTTTTTGTAGTGAAGATCTGTCCGTTCTAGTTCCGTTAACATTCCGTTCTTCTGCCACTCAAATTAGTGCTTCAAGTCAACATTGCTATCATGCTTTCTTCTTAACCTAGTACGTTTGTATCATTCTTTTCATGATAATGTCAGTTCCAATAACAACCACTCGAAGGAATATGCAGATGGTCCATTTGTTGGTTTCTCTAAATTAATCTAACCGACGTTGTTTGCTTTAAATAAATGTCAAAATGCTTATTTTGTGAAAGCATTGATCTGCTTGTGTTCAGTTGTGCTTGTTGTTGAGCAGGTTTTCCAGTTAATAGAAACAAACATGATGCTAGAAAAGCCACCACACCAAGTGGAACTAAAGCAGATGACAAACAAGTAAGCACCTGATACTTTGTTATCAATCATGAAGCGTGACTCCTTTGGATGATCTTGTGTACTAATTTTCATATTTGTTTTCAGATAGCCAATGACCTGAAGCAGAATTTATCAAGCAAGAAAGCTAGTGGAACACCAATGAAGATGCTAATAGCTCAGGAGATGTCAAAAGAAACAGAGTCTATACGGAAACCACCTAGTGTCGTTGCTCGACTTATGGGCCTTGATGATGATCTTACAGGTCAGCCATTTCCAATGTCTAGTCAAAGAAAGTTGCTAGAGGGATACCCTCAAAGAGCCACAGCAGGTGTTAATAGAGATCACCGTCAACGGCAAGATGTTTTCAACAAGGCGGTTCCATATCAGCACCATAGACATGACCATGAGAAGATGGAACACAGAGATGTACGCAAAGTGTGGCAGCAACCATCTTGGAGCAGGAATGGAAGATGTGGTGAGAATCAGACCGAGCTAAGAATGGCCCTTGTCCGTCAAAAATTCATGGAAGCAAAGCGTCTGGCCGCTCATGAAAATCTTCTTCACACCAAGGAATTTCAGGATGCCCTTGAGGTTCTGAGTTCAAATAGAGATTTATTTCTCAAATTTCTTGAGGAGCCAAATTCCCTACTCTCAAAGCAAACAAGCGATCTTCACTCTATTCCTCCACCACCTCAGACAAAGCGCATTACCGTATTGAAGCCATCAAAAAAGGTTGAAACAAAGTTTGAAAAGGTAGTGAAGAAACACGAAAATTCAGAGATTGATGAGAGTGGATTGGAAACAAACAATCACCATTGGGAGCCTAATTTCAATCATTTAAATTCCGAAAGCTTCTTTCGGCCAACCAGGATAGTGGTCCTGAAGCCTAGCACAGGAAATCCTACCAAACTACCAACTTCAACCATGTCACCTGAGTATCTAGCACGGACTGAAGTTTATGGTCACCTAGGAGTTAGTGAAGCCTTTGAATCAAGGTCCTTGGACAAGGAAAGAGCTGAGCAGATGCAAAAAAGTCTAACTGGCCATAGGAGGGATGAATCGTTGCTATCTTCCATGTACTCTAATGGGTATGGTGGAGATGCGAGTTCATTCAATCAATCAGAAACTGATTACAATGTAGAAGATGGTGGCTTTAGTGATTCTGGGATAGTGACTCCAACATCACGCCATTCCTGGGATAAATTTGGCAGTCTTGGCAGTCCTTACTCAGCCTCGTCTTTTAGCCGGGTCTCATATTCACCTGAGTCATCAGTGATTAGAGAGGCAAAGAAACGGCTTTCTGAACGATGGGCTTTAGTGACATCAAATGGGATAAGTGAAGAACAATTACAGTTGCCTAGGAGCTCAAGCACTTTAGGTGAAATGCTTGCCATTCCTGAGGTAAAGAGAGAAGAATTTGTTGATGGGTTTACTGTCTCAAGCAATAAACCATCTGATGGAGAAGATGAACTGAGGTCACCAGCATTTTGCTCATCAGTGGGTAGGACGAAAGATTCAGGAGACCTTTCCCCTGGGAATTTATCAAGGTCAAAGTCTGTCCCAGTGTCATCCACAGCTTATGAGGTCATTAGCCTGAAATTTAAAGGTTCGGAGTCTCAGATTAGTAGATCCACTGTGTCAGAGGTGTCGAAGACCAAACATGGGAAATCATCTTTCAGAGGAAAAGTGTCAAGCTTTTTTTTCTCGAGGAGCAAGAAAACTAATAGAGAAGGACCTGTTTCTTCAACCCTGGTGGACTCCCGTGAGGTAGTAAGTAGAAGTGATGAGATACAAAAATCAGCTGACATCAGTTTGTCAGTGGACAGTCAAGTAAAGGATGAGGAACAATCTGCCGATGTACCTTCTCCAATATCAGCCACAAATGTCACCGAAAAGGTTGGTTCTCTCCCAATCTTTTCTTATTAGTTTTCTCAATCTGTTTGAATTTGCCCTATATGTAGATATTGACTGGTGCTTGCTGTTCTTATTGGTATGATCACTTCCATCTTCTACTTCACTCACATATATTTCAATGTTATATTTCACACTTGAATTTATTCAGTGATTAAAATCTTATACACTGCAGGTCATGCCATCACTTGAGGAACCCCGAACATGTGACAAGTCTAGAGAAAAGGAGAAACTCAGTCCATGTCAAAATTTCATTAACAACCTGGACCAACCCAGCCCTACTTCGATTTTGGATGCAACATTTGAAGATGATATGAATGAAAATTTGTGCCAGCTATCTGAAGCTAATGCTGGACAACAACGTAAGTTTTCTCTGGCATCCATGAAAACACTAGAGATTTCTATTTGCTGATTGTTTCTTTTATCTCCCATTCAGTACTTTCCAGGGCTTCACCTATAGAGTCAGTCGCACGTTCTTTGTCGTGGGATGATGCCCATTTGGGAACATTGTCCCCGAGGCCCTCAAATCTCTATAAAGCTTCGTCCAAGGCAGATCACACCGACCAAGACTACTTTGTATTTGTTCAGAATTTGCTATATTTTGCTGGCTTAGAGAAATCTGATATGATATTCACTGGATGGCACTCTCTTGATAGCCCATTGGATCCGATGCTACTCGACAAGTTCTTGGGATGGAAAGAAGAGGAACCAAGATGCACGGAGAAAAGTTCGACCCTGAGGCTCCTATTTGACTGTGTCAACTCAGCCCTTGAAGAAGTCAGTTGGACCACTTTAACGAGTCTCTACCTATGGAATGGGGCATCCTGTGGATCACGGATAAATGCTGGTGCAAGTTCTACATTGTCAGAGGCTGTGTGGAGTCTAATGAGGGATTGGTATTCCGGCAACGGGATATCAGTGTTTGCTGAGACCGACAACAATAGCCTGGGGGTGGATAGAGCATTGAGGAGGGAGGTGGAAGGAAACAAGTGGGTTGAATCGATCAGGATAGAAGTAGAGGAGATCACTGGAGAAATCAGTGGGGAGGTCCTGAAGGATTTGGTTGTAGAGGCTTTGGCTGACCTTCCTACTGCATGTATCTGCTGACCCCTTTTGTCCCTCAGCTTCTGTTACTTGGCTTTGTTGTTTTTGCTGTGGAAGAGGCTGCTACAATGTTTAGATTTCTATGCTTCCACTAGTGATGATGTACGTAAACTATCTGATATGTGGCATTTGCTTATATTACATGGATCTCCTGTGTTTATTGCATGCTTCATCTCTGTAACTTATATGAAGAATCGAACTGGCATCATCAGTCGGTGGATTTAATGTGCATTGCTGCTGAAGGGCAAGAGGAAATCCACCTGATCTGAAACAGCGGCAAGAGGGAATGGTTTCACAGTAGCCTGGACGAGGCCATGTGATCTCTTCTCGGAGAACAAAAAGCATACAATGGTAAGTGGCTGTGAAGTAAAGAGTTTGTATACTTAATACATTCTTTTTCTACCAATCTGACCAACTCGAGTTGATGTCAGGTTGACTAAAACAATGAACAGTGAAATCTCCTGGACATTCTTGGGATAAGTTCTGGTTAAGTTTGATTATAATTGTTCTAAATTAATGTGCAGGTCCGACTGTAAGATGCCAATCTGAACCTGGCATCTTGTTAATGTTCACATGGTAGTGGTATTGAAATGTCATGGATTCGTGTTTGTGGTTCCTCACCGACTTCATTAAATTATGGATCTAAGTGGTGCAGATGTGTGTGGTGTTCTGCACCATAATTATAAAGCATGAGACGAAATTAATCTACCTTTCGGTGGAAAGCTACATTTGCTTGCCCAATAAACTTCGATGAGATATTGTGAGGTTGAATTAAGACGCTTTAATTGAGTTTGATGGGCTTCAAGGAGAGAGAAAGAAGAAGAAGAAGAAGAAGAGGAATGTTTTATCCAATAGGTTTTATACACTGCAAAGCTTTGCAATATGTTCTGCCCAATCTCTAAAACAAGACAAGGGATGATGAGCAGAGCTAAAAGAATAGAATACTAATGATTTCTAACACTGCAGCTTATTTCTTCCATCCATAAGAACTGTTAAACAGCAAACTATCACAAAAATAAAGTTGAAAGCTGCAGAAATTGTAGTTAAGTTATTTAATTATATTAAACCATTGCAATAGATCACTTGACAAAAAAATTAAACTCACAAAATAGGAAAAGGAAAAGGTTTTTACACTTTAGTGTGATAAATCAGCTGAAAATATTCTTTAACTACAGCATAAACTTCACTAGCAAACATTATTGCATAACAGCTCTAAAAGTGAGAACTAAAAGTTCTTGTTCCAAACAGTTGACTCTAAAAAGGTCTTCCAAATTCTAAAAGAAAGGGCTGTAACTAAAAGTGTTCATCTTCAATCTGCATGTCTCACAGTATTCTAGTTATGATTAGGAAGGAGACAATGTGACCATAACTCAAAATCATTGAGCTAATGAGGGAAATGTGAGATGATATAACACCATTAAGATAGAGCCAGGAGTAGTCGTTCATGAATCACACAACTTTTATATGATTTTAAAAGACATATATATATATTTCCTACTCCCAATTGGTACTCCGGCCTAACCCATGATCAAAAGGAAAGAGCTTTGAAACTTTAGGTCACCAACCCTAAGTTTGACCAGTAGATGCTTTGAGATCGCCAACATTAAGTGGTGGCAAGTTCAAGAGGAGACAGAGCGTATGATCCTTGACCTGGTTAACACTTTGGTTTGTGCATCACATGGGGAGTTCCTACATCACTAATCAAGTCATGGCTATTCTTCATTTAGTTGAGGTCATCATCTCTGTCAATTGTTTGAACAGCCTTAAAACTTGACGGCGTCTCACATACCAAACAGTGAGGCAAGCACGTCTGCATTCATGTTGACACGCCAATCTGTGTCGGTGTCTTCGTGCTTCAATTTTCCCATAGCATGAATCATGGTGGCAGATGTTAAACGCAACATAGACAAGTTCATAGAAACTAGTTGGTGATGCAGTGTGTCACATCAAATGGTTGGGTGGTGAGAGTTGATGCTTCAATAATATACTTTCACGAGTAATCTTGAGAGCAAGAATTCAAAGACTACAGCCTGGTTAGTATATATAATTGCAAGCTGGTTGAAGAACACTTCAGACTTGGTCAAATGGGATTAAACAAGGGTGCAAAAATAGCCATTAATTTGCTGATATTTCTGATGAACTGAAACTACTGAGAAGACTTTTGAGGTGTCAACTACAAACACTTGAGCTTAAGGTAGCATGTACTAACCTAAAATATTCTGCTATATAACCTTCTTTTGAAGAGTGGTATCACATCTACCAACACCATTGTTGCAGTGAAGTGACATGATTGACATAACAAAGCAGTGGATAAAGAGACAGCTAGTGGCAAATAGGCATGCCTGTGTGTTCTTCTTCTTCTTCTAATGCTGTTGTCCTTATCATGAACTATAAAGACCACAAGCCTTTGCCACTTGCATCCCCACCAAACTCCTATTATCCAATGTCGCTCGCACAGATCAAGATGGAAGGCTACTCTCCCTGAGAAAAGAAATGAGGAGGATGGGTGGATGGTGGCCAAAGGGAAGGAGAGCAACCAAAGGCTGAGGGTTTTGGTGGGTAGCTCGTTGATGCTATACATCTTTACCCTCCCTCCATTGTTGGGCGCGTGCAGGTGTTGTAGCTATCAAACTCCATTTATGGCCCCGACGGCAAATCATTTGTTCTTATCGCCTTCTCCATTAACCAAATGTTTTCTGTTCATCTTGCGTATGATGAAAATAATGCTTTATATCAAGATGTAACCTTGTTTATAATGAGAATGATGCATTCTAATTAAGATGATGATTAAGAGATTAATTTGTTAGTTTGATGGATTGTATCAGGAAATTATCCATTTAAAATTAGTACGATCATACCCTTTTGGGATGAGCCATTTTTATGGTAGAGAATGTTGCTGATGCTCACAAGACATCGATTCTTGTATTCGATGGGACTAAAAGTTCTTATCACTATTAAATATATTAAGAATATTTTTTTATTATAAAGATGAAATAAAATTATTATCTAGAAAGATAATTACCTATAATTGATCATGAAAATAATTTGCCTAGAGAAAATAATTTTTTAAAAAATATATTTATATTATCTATCAAATCAAATTATACTCTATGACAATCAATATTGTTCTTTTGCATATTTTATGATGTTTTATTTTTTTATATTTTTTTTTGAAGATTTGATATCATTGGACACCTAATCTTGTTATGGAAGATAGAATCATGGTCATAATCCTTTTAATAAATCTTTAGGTTGACTACTTATATCTTTATATACATAAATTCACTATGGATGGTGAGCTAATTAAAAATTATCTTTTATAATTAGATTTCTTTAGTATCTCGATCTTTAGATTTTGAAAATATATATTGATATTTTTATAGTTTTGAAAATGAAACATTTAATTTCATATGTTCTAATATCATTGGTTTTATCGATGAAAGATATAGTACATGAGTGTAAAATTATCAATTTTATTAATAATAAAATGATCATTTCAAATATTAATTAAAAGATGGAAGAAAGGAGTTATTGGCGACAGTCATGCTAATGGTTTCTTTCCCTTAGGGTTTAGGACTAACTTGATATTGTTATTGTTGTAGAAGAGTTTTGCCCTAATCCTAAGAGATTGGGGAAGAAACTAATTGCACGAATGCCCTTTTTTTCATCTTTTAATTAATATCTAAAATAATTATTTTATTATTGATAAAATCGATAATTTCATAAGTACTGTTACTTGTTATATCTTTAGTCGGTAAAAAGCTAACGACGACGAATAGATGAAATTAAATATTTTACTTTTATATTTTTAAAGTTTAAAAATCAGAATGCTAAAAAGATCTAATTACCATCCGATCTAATCTAATCTGATCCCAGATGATCCAACTTATGATCACATTGGATAGGTATCAGATCTATCTAGAATCCTGCCTAATTAAAAGCTACCGGGCATTGACCTTTTAATTAGATCCCTGACTCCATTTCCAGCACCAAGCATAAAGCCATGGACAAAAAAATAAATCAAATGTTTGATATAATGCCTTCATTACATGCATGGACATTAAGAAATCTAGATTGGATCACATCCTCTCTTGGAGGATCTTCAAAGCCCGCAATGCTGTTCTACTGTCTGATAGCCCAATAGCGTTGTTGTAGTCGCTGACACATCAGAGAGAAAACCGAGTCGTTTGGTAACTAACAAGTATAAAAAATGTGCACTCGTCACGTAGAATAGATTGAAGGAAGGAAAAGAGGGATTGTGTTTGTAGGGACATTAGATTAAGAAGGGGAAGAGTGGAAGAGATGGAAAGATGAAACTTGAACGCTTTCTTGCCTGCCATTGCTTCTCTCTGCACTCCATTTAGGAGATCCTGCTCTGATCTCTCTCAGATTGCTCGTTTCTGGAATTGTTGCGAGGTGTTGATGAGGCCGAACGAGGAGCAGATCCACGGGACGCATCGGCAGAAACCCGGATAACAGAGGAGCTAAAAACGAGGTAGGTTGTGTGCGTTGGTGGGCCGGTGAAGGCGAGAGAGCACTTTCCTCGGGGGGGCTTCTTGAAAGTTGAGGTTTTTAATTGGCCATACCTGTGTCGCTGGAGTTTCTCGGGTTCTTGATTTCTGACTTATTTGATTGCTGGTGGGTGTATCTTCTTCAAGCAATTTGATTTATTCGAAGGGTTTTGGTAGAATTGTATTGTTGTGCATTCCGTAAGCAGAAAGGTGAGTTCTTGATGCGGAGGGCTCTTTTTGGGAGAAGAAAGATGTAGGTTTTGATACTGTAGGCTTGTGAGACTGGTTAGTATGCATCTTTTGGTAGAATTTGGTGAAAAGGTGACGTTTGCTTGAAACTTGTGGCTGGGAGGCTTCGTTTCGTGGATCTCTGTGGTTGTCTTTGGATTCCTTTTTTACTTTTCTTTCTGGTTTGGTTTGTGAGAATATGTTGGACATGTTAGGAAGTGTAGAGTGATGAACAGAAAGGGTTTTCAAAGTTAGGTTCTGGGACTCTGGATTTGGCTGCTTTTTGGGTTCAATAAATGGGGAGAAGGTAATAATGTGAAGTCTTGGTTTTCCTATATGCCCCAAGGAATTATTTATGCTCATGAACTTTCTTTTAAGATAAAAGATTCAGTTTGTCACATCCAAAAAGAACTCAAGGATTCATTTGGTTGTCCATGAACTTTTGGAGGCTTCGGGATGACAGAGGTATGCCACTTTTCTGATACCAAGATTCCTTAATCCTGTTTGTATCTTCTGCCTCTTTGTGTATGTAACTGCTTTTTAACTGTTAGGGTGGTCTTTGATTTTTGTTCCCTTCAATTCAGGAGAATGAGGGTGTTTAGCTGACGAAGTGGTTGGTTATGTTCTTGGTGATCTAACTCTTCTCTTGTATATATTGTATGTGCATTACGCCTTGGTCTTATTACTACCGATGGCTAAATTCTTGGAGATCTTGGGACCTGGAAGAGTATCTGCTGCCATTGATCTCAAGTTCATAGCTTTGTTTGCTGCTCTATTTGTATCTAGTTCTGATGGGATAAACATGGAAGGCAAGTACCTCTTGCAACTTAAGAGTGAAATAAGAGACGTTCTCCACAACCTTGATAACTGGAGCCCTGATGATCTTACGCCCTGCCAGTGGAATGGTGTTAATTGCACTTCTGACTATGATCCAGTGGTTTTCTCACTTGATCTGAACTCCATGAATCTTTCTGGGTCTGTTTCTCCAAGCATTGGGGGATTGATTCACTTGACTTATCTTGACCTTTCCTTCAATCAGTTCTCTGGGACGATCCCCGGGGAGATTGGAAATTGCTCCAAGTTAGAGATGCTGTACCTGAACAATAACAACTTTGAGGGCAGCATCCCACCACAACTGGGGAACCTTGTCTCCTTGTTCAAGTGCAATTTGTGCAATAACAAACTTTCTGGTTCATTTCCTGAGGAGATCGGAAATCTCTCATCGCTCATGGAATTTGTGGCATACACCAACGACCTTATTGGTCCATTGCCTCGTACCATAGGCAAGCTCAAGAACTTGGCCATCTTTCGAGTAGGGCAGAATCTGATCTCTGGAAGCATTCCGGTTGAGATCAGTGAATGCCACAACCTCGAATTGCTTGGTCTTGCCCAAAATCAGCTAGGAGGAGCGATTCCTAAAGAAATAGGGAAACTAAGGTACCTAGCTGAACTGATCCTTTGGGACAATCAATTATCTGGAGTTATTCCTAAAGAGCTCGGAAACTGTACAGACCTTGTGACACTTGCACTTTACCAGAATTATCTAGTGGGTGATATACCTGTTGAGCTCGGAAACCTGAAGAATCTAGAGAAGCTATATCTTTACAGGAATAGTTTCAATGGGACAATACCTAAAGAAATTGGGAATCTTACTCTGGCAACAGAAATAGATTTCTCGGAGAATATGTTGACGGGGAAAATACCAGCAGAGTTGAGTAACATAAAAGGCTTGCGCCTGCTCTACCTCTTTGAGAACCAGCTTGTAGGCATCATACCCCCCGAGCTGTGTGCGCTGAAGAACTTAAGTAAGCTCGACCTCTCAATCAATTATCTCACTGGATCCGTTCCTCCCGGATTGCAATATCTGCCTGATCTGATCCAGTTGCAACTCTTCAACAACATGCTCTTTGGTAACATTCCTCAGAATCTTGGATTGTATAGTCCACTTTGGGTGGTTGATTTCTCAAACAATAACCTCACTGGTCAAATCCCAAGTCATCTATGCCGACATTCAAATCTTATTTTGTTGAATCTCTGGTCCAATGAACTAAGTGGTAGCATCCCCCCTGGGGTTACAAATTGCAAATCCTTGGTGCAGCTTCGTCTAGGTGGGAATAGCCTCACAGGAGGCTTCCCCTCTGATCTCTGTGGACTGGAAAACCTTACCACCATTGAGTTAGATGAGAACAGGTTCAGTTGTCCTATCCCTCCGGAGATAGGACAGTGCAAAGCTCTGCAGAGACTGGACCTGGCAAACAACTTCTTCACACATGAGTTGCCAGGTGAAATTGGAAATCTGTCACAGCTTGTCGTCTTTAACATCTCCTCCAATGAATTTGGAGGAAGAATGCCTCCAGAAATATTTAACTGTACGATGCTTCAACGACTTGATCTCAGCCATAATCACTTTGAAGGAAAATTGCCTAATGAAATTGGAAAACTTCTGCAGCTCGAACTGCTTATACTTTCTGATAATATGTTTTCTGGAACCGTACCTTCCATCATAGGAAAGCTCTCTCATTTGACAGAACTGCAGATGGGTGGTAATCAATTTTTTGGCACAATACCAAATGAATTGGGTGGGCTTTCAAGTTTACAAATTGCAATGAATCTCAGCTATAATAATTTTTCTGGAAATATTCCACCAGAGATTGGCAATCTTGCGCTGCTAGAATTCCTTTTGTTAAATAATAACTACTTAACTGGTGTAATCCCAGCCACATTTGCAAATTTATCTAGTTTACGTGGACTGAATGTCTCTTATAATGATCTAACTGGATCTCTTCCTCCCATTCCATTGATTCAAAGTATGGCCCAAAGCAGCTTTATTGGAAATAAAGGGCTATGTGGTGGACCACTTGGCGAATGTGGTGTATCGCCATCTTCTTCTACATCACCATCATTGAGAAAAAAAAGCACCCCCTTCAGTAAGATCATTGTCATTATTGCTGCTGCTGTTGGAAGCATTTCACTTGTTCTGATCGCTGTTGTTTTATATTTTATGAGACGGCCAGTCGAGACAATGGCTCCATTGAAAGAGAAACAACTATATTGTTCAGCATCAGGCACACATATCTCCCCAAGAGAAGGATTCACATTCCATGATCTGGTTGCTGCTACAGATAATTTTGATGAGAGTTTTGTTATTGGAAGGGGTGCTTGTGGCACAGTTTACAGAGCTATTACCCAGTCTGGGCGGACAGTTGCCGTAAAGAAATTAGCATCTAGTAGGGAAGGAAGTAACATTGAGAACAGCTTCCGTGCAGAGATTTCTACTCTTGGAAAGATTCGACATCGAAATATTGTAAAGCTATATGGTTTCACCTATCACAATGGTTCCAAATTTCTTCTCTACGAGTACATGTCAAGTGGAAGCCTGGCTGATCTTCTTCATGGAGAATCTTCTTTTCCACTTGACTGGGATACTCGTTTTATGATTGCCGTTGGGACTGCTGAGGGGCTTTCATACTTACACCACGATTGCAAGCCCCACATCATTCACCGAGATATAAAGTCCAGCAACATTTTGCTTGATGAAAATTTTGAAGCTCATGTTGGAGATTTTGGATTAGCGAAGTTGATTGACGTGCCACAGTTAAAATCAATGTCTGCAATTGCTGGGTCATATGGGTATATAGCACCTGGTAAGACTTCTAATATTACAGCTCAGGCTATTCCTGTCCTTTTCTGCTTGTGGTTTATTGCTTTTATTTGCCTTTTCAAAGAAAGCTGTTTCCCTGCATTTGATTGCATTTGCATTTTGCTAATCCCATATTGATATCCTGAGGAACTAACTGTGTAATAGTTGCATTGTGTTTAATGGTGATTATACGCTTGAATGTTGCTGCTGTTCTATTAGTCTGTTTCTCTTAAAAGTTAAAATTTCAGAGATCCTACCAATTGTCAAATGATAACAAAAATGATCATCTAAATATTCTTGTCACATCCTGCTGTATAATTTTGTTGAAGTGGTAAATTTCGGGATCTCGTGAAAATTGGTTCTTTGTTCGACCCATTGCAAAAAAATGGGTTGATCCAACCTATTTATCGTGAAAGATATACTGACTTTGTGAATAAGGATTGTGGATATGTTTCAGTGTGAATAATCAGAAAGGTATTGGGATGCGCCATGGTGGCACAAGTTGGTCACGTGGCAGTGTGCTATTCTGCACAACTGATTTCATGCCATGCTAGCAAGGTAATGATGGCATACCCCTATGCCATCAAATGATAATCCTTGTGAGAAAGAAGCATTTGGTCGATTGGAGCATGCTAACATAGAGAGAAATAGACCCCTCTGAATTGCACGGGTATTTGATGGTTCTCTCCCAACATATGCATGCAGGAGGTACTCAAATATTGTATTGTATTTGCCCCATGAACTGCACAAGTTTTAGGATTAATTTTTGCATGTAAAAGGAGCTACTCAAACCTTCCATGTTTGTGTAGCAATCACCCAGAAAAGAAAAACAATGTCACAGGATGAAGAAGTGCTCTTTGTTAGTTTTTGAGAGAGAGCATTTTAAGAGACAGGCTCACAGCCACAATAAAAGGAAGCGGCCCCATCTCAGTAAAGCCATTAAGATAATGAGCGTATGTAAATTGTGGAGCCCCACCATGCCAACATCCCATGGATATGGATGTGGCGTTACATGATGTGAAGCGGCAAGACATATATGACAAAATACTTGAGAACTTATTCGAGGTAGCGAAAAAGACTACTAATAAGCAAGTGCAAGACTTGTTGTCATAGTAATGTGGAACCAAATCCCCCACACAAGTGATATACCTCTCTGGTTGTCTAATGCACATTGCATCCAAAATTTGTGAGACTATAAAGAAACATTTTAAAAGTCCAAATCAAACACTTGATGGCAAAACAAAAATTATGTTTAACAGTGTCTCCAGAAGAAAATTGTTGAGCCGCATGCTTTAGTTTCTTATTACACTGTGTAATCATGCACGTTTGAGGTACTGATTTTGCAAGAACTACAATTTATATGTTTGCGAAAAATGAACTAGATGAAGAAGTTCATTGTTCTAGTCATGGTGATGAGTTTACCATTAATGGTTTGCTTATGATGATTTTCCAGGTTTTAAAGGAATATCTTGTTAGATAGTTCAGGTGTTTTGTTGCATGATTAGTTAAATCGAGTTTAATAATCTTGATAAGGTCAAACTGCTGTATTTCTAGCTTTCCCGGTGATGTGTGCTGGTAATTTTTCTTCTTTACCATGTTTCTCTATCACCATATGTAGCTTTGAATTCTTTTAGTGGATTGTTGCAACTTAAAATCTCTTCCGCATCTAATTGAAATCACTTTGACTATATTTGCCTTATTAGCATATTTAATTATATCCTATATATCAACCTTTTTCTGCCAGAATATGCATATACTATGAAGGTTACAGAAAAATGTGATATATATAGCTATGGAGTTGTCCTACTGGAATTGCTGACCGGAAGAACACCAGTGCAACCACTTGACCAAGGAGGTGACCTTGTTACATGGGTAAGAGCATATATTAAGGATAATTCTTTGACTTCTGGAATATTTGACAGTCATTTGAACTTGGAAGACAAGAATGCTATCAGCCACATGATCATGGTTTTGAAAATTGCTTTATTATGTACAAGTTCATCACCATTGAATAGGCCATCTATGCGAGAAGTTGTACTGATGTTAATGGAGTCTAAAGAGAAAGCTAGGGGCCTTCCATCCTCCACAGATTCTGATCACTCTGTGAAGAAAGACCAGTCATAGTGTATTTATATTTTACATTCATCAAAATTATATGTTCACTCCGATATATACTTTTTAAATAGCCCTCCTCAGTTCCCATCTTGTATGCAATAACTACTCATTACATCTCAAAATTTTTACTCACAAAATCCGAAGGTGAAACTTAGTATGATCCAGATCGTCTTGTTTGCCAGTTAGCGTGATTTTGGAAGCCAAACGGATGAAAAGAGCTGCTAAAGCTAAAGCCAAACGTATACTTCTTTGATGATACTTCAGCGTAAACATTGTAATTAAGTTTATTTAGTCTGTACCTAGTTTCATCTTTTTTTTTTTCGAAACCATGATACTTCAAGGTGATTTAGTTTGTAAACCAGAAATTATTTCTTCTAGTGTTGTTTGAACAAGTTTTGTACCCTTTGCTTGTTGCTTATGATCTTGCAGAGAACTTTGATGTGCCATTAAACTTGTATCTATCGAATACAGTTTTCGGCACTTCGACTTGTTTGTTATTCGAGCAAATGAACTCGACAACGAAACTTACCTCTGTTTTACATTCAGAGAAATTTCATTGTTTTTCTGATGGTGTCTTGATTTTGAGTGGAACTCCATTTAGCCATTATATTCATGAAATGTATGAATTGTGTGCTCTGCAGTATTTTACCAGGAAATTAATACAGTGGCATCATTTGTTGTCATACTGAGTTTAGACTTCAACTTCAAAGTCATTCCAAGTGTAATTTGATGGTTGTGATGGCTCTCTCTTTGAACAAGTTCAACTTAATCAGATCAAGTTAGATTAGGTTACTGTGAACAGACAAAGCTAATCCCACCGTGTCGACTTAAACTAGGAATATTGGATTAGTATTACCAGACGGTCAGATTAATTCAACTGATTTAGATCATAAAACACTTACCCTCGCGCTCGTGATATGGTAAGTTGCTCACCTTCCACATCTATCATTCGGTTGTAGAAATGTCTTTGGTACTACAAAGCAAATTACATGCACATCGATCAACGTATTTGCTAATATTAACATTGCCTGAAGCTTCTTGACGCTGCAGATGTATAAATCAATAAGAATGAGCTTCTAACTATCTAATTTTCTAAAGAACATATCGACATGCTATTGATGCAATAATTCAACGTGTTCCGGTGATCAAGCCACGATGATCTCACCGATGCACGGCCACTTCCACCGGTCTCCATCGATGGTGTCCACCCACCGGCAAGTACGCGGTAAGCATGACAGAAACATCGTCTTTGTTCCCGCGGCTTCGGTCACGGCGACGCCAACAACTAATTGGCGGAGAACAATGTAATATCTTTTGTCGTTTTATGAGCTTTGACTTTGACTTGTCGACGTCTGTCTGATTAGAAGGTCACCGACGTGGTAACCTTAACGAGATAGCTGGATGCCACCGTCCTATTCCAGAAGGTACCACGGCAACATTTTCTGATGTAGAGAACGCGTCCCCAAATCACCGTCTCGCTCGTCGGTGGCCTTTGTGGTCTCCACACACTCGGTCGTTGGTACGTTTATCGGGTGCCGAGAACGGGTGGTTCGAATATTGTGGTTTCAAGACGGGCAGTGGTTTCGGTACCCGCGACGAACTACCTGACGGACCCACCGACCTCGTGATTTGGACTCAGCAATTGGCCCACCATGTTGTCCAATCGTACGGCCAGTAGCCCAGCCAAAAGTTCCCCCGGCTCATAAAGGATCCATGCCGTGTGGAAGGTCGGCAGCGGTGATGCTTCGGTTACCGCGATACGTCAGCCATCGGGTGGTTCCTCGCCACGTGTCCCGCTTCGGTCACGGAGTCGATGGCGTAACGGCGTCAAATTTCCATACGTCCGGGCCCGTGACTCGGAAATTGTGCTGGAAACGTGGCGAGGGGAAACCGACACGTAGCTCGGTGCGTTCGACGTGGCTGGGGAGCAACCGGCCACCGACTGAGACGGACCGGCGCAGCGTTCTAGAATGCGCCGATGCCGGCCCTTTTCCACGGGCGACTTCGTGAGGCCAACTCCGGTTGTCGCCTTCCCGAGATTCCGGTTGTGGGTGGGCAAGAATAAAGCCCTCTCCTTCCCTCTCGTCGCGGCATATATATCTCTGTGAGTTCCCCGCACCCTATCTCTCCTCATTTCCTCCTCTTCGATTACAAGATGCTCTTCCATACCTCCATCGAAATCTGTGTTCTCCAGCTCTCTCTCAATGCTTAGTGGTGTAAATTAAATTGAGCGGTTGTTTTCTTTTTTCCCTTCCTATTGGGATTAGGGAGCGTCACATGGGACTCAAATTTCATGACAATCCCAATCTAGGTTTTGTAATTTTAGTGTTCTGAAATCGATATGTGCTTTACCCAATGCGCAAATTTTGAGTTTTTTTAGCGGAGATTTGTTGTTGACGGCTCTAGAGACTGGTGGGTGATAGTTCCTCTTCTCGCATTTTGGATTTGGGGGAGGGCACAGATAACTGGGTCTGCACTTCTCAATTTGATGAGAGTTTATTCGATAGAGATCGATCAATTAAGCTGAATTTGGGCTGGAATTTGATGAGACGACGGTCGTTAGAGTCCAACCATCACGAGGAGATGGAGAAGGCCAACGGCAAGCCTCCACCATCTCGGCTCTGCTTCTTGGCCACCCTATCGGCCATGTTCTGGATCATGATCTTCTACTTCCATTTCACTGTTCTCAGCAGCAACCCTATCGGCAAACCGGAGCAACCCGTTCCCTTCTCCGTTTCGGCCCAACCCCAGCGGATTTCGGAAGCATATGAAGCGTTTGAACTGCCCAAAATGAAGGCACCGCCGAGATCAAAGCCATCGGATACTCGTCAAGCACCAGAGGCATTCCCCTTCACCCGGGCCCTCCGGACCATCGAGAATAAGAGCGATCCGTGCGGTGGGAGGTACATCTACGTCCATGACCTCCCCTCGCGGTTCAATGCCGACATGCTCCGAGATTGCAAGAACTTGAGCCTTTGGACCAACATGTGCAAATTCACAAGCAATGCTGGTCTGGGGCCTCCGCTTGAGAATGCTGAAGGGGTCTTCTCAAACACCGGATGGTATGCCACCAATCAATTCGCGGTGGATGTGATCTTCAACAACCGGATGAAGCAGTACGAGTGCCTGACCAAGGATTCATCCATTGCCGCAGCTATTTTCGTGCCCTTCTATGCTGGTTTTGACATAGCTCGATATCTTTGGGGATACAATATCTCAGTCAGGGATGCTGCATCTCTCGATTTGGTTGATTGGCTCATGAAGAGGCCTGAGTGGAACGTGATGGGGGGAAGGGACCATTTCTTGGTGGCTGGGAGGATCACTTGGGATTTCAGGAGATTGACGGATTCTGAAACGGATTGGGGGAATAAGCTTCTGTTCTTGCCAGCTGCAAGAAATATGTCCATGCTGGTTGTGGAGGCAAGCCCATGGAATGCTAATGATTTTGGGGTACCATATCCTACTTACTTTCATCCAGCAAAGGATGGTGATGTTTTCCTTTGGCAGGACCGGATGAGGAAGTTGGAGCGGAAGTATCTATTCTCATTTGCAGGTGCGCCACGGCCTGATAATCCAATATCAATCAGAGGGCAGATAATAGATCAGTGCAAAAGGTCCAAGGTATGTAAGTTGTTGGAGTGTGATTTTGGAGAGAGCAAGTGTCACTCCCCAAGCAGCATAATGCAGATGTTCCAGAGTTCCTTGTTTTGCTTACAACCTCAGGGAGATTCATATACAAGGAGATCAGCTTTTGACTCCATGTTGGCTGGTTGCATACCTGTTTTCTTCCATCCTGGTTCTGCTTATATACAGTACACATGGCATCTCCCGAGGAACTACTCGACATATTCGGTGTTTATCCCGGAGGATGATATTCGAAAGCAGAATGTCAGCATTGAGGAGAGGTTAAAGCAAATTCCTCCAGATGTTGTGGAAATAATGAGAGAGAGAGTCATAAGCCTTATACCAAAGCTAATATATGCAGACCCTAGGTCTAAACTGGAGACTCTTAAGGATGCGTTTGATGTGGCAGTTCAGGCAGTCATCAACAAAGTTACAAAACTAAGAAGGGATGTAATTGAAGGCCATGAAGATAAGGACTTCATCGAAGAGAACAGCTGGAAATATGCTTTGTTAGACGATGGCCAGCAAACAGTTGGGCCACATGAGTGGGATCCTTTCTTTTCTAAGCCGAAGGATGGTAACGGAGAGTCTGGCACTATATCTGCTGAAGCTGCTAAGAAATCTTGGAAGAATGAACAAAGGAGTCAGGCTTGACTTGTATTCTGGAGTGATGAGAAGGCAGGGCTAATTGATTATGATGATTTATAATCACATTGGTACAATCTGAAGCTACTTGAATGCAAGTAAATCATCAAATTACAGATATGTGGATGAGTGAGCCTTGATCATCATTGTTGAGTGTATATCAGTTGAGTTTTTCTGCAAATTGTGAGAATGTGTCTACAACAATAATTAGAACTTCAAAGGTAGGTAGCAGATTTCGTCTTCCCTACATATTAAATTTTTATAGTTTTTTATTTTAGCACATTGTCTGTAAGCAAATCTGTAACTCTTCCATTACATATTTCACAAAGATTAGAATAAGAAATATTATGTAATTGTGTTGTAGTGGTTATTATGTAATTGTGTTGTTCAGACCAGATGAGAAATATATAATGTAATTATTTTATCTTGTTAATTAATGAAAATCCTTCTGCGAGAAAAATAGACTATCATGGGCCATGGCAATGTGATTACCTAGTGTCTTACTGAGTGTATAATTTCCTGACATAAAGAAAGGACACGAAACAGATGAATGTTGCCAATTTGATGCTGATCAATTGCATACACATGATAGTGATATGATCTCTGAAATGTCCTTAAAACCTAACCTTTGAGCAACTTCAATTTTTTGTTGTGATTTTATATAAATGTGCTTCCTAGAGTTGACACCAGTATCTGGTGTATGAGGAATTTTGGCATCTAGATGGTAGTCATCTTATTATTATTATCATCATTGGAATGAGATTATTTCCCTAAAGTGCAAGGTACGTTTGTGACACATCAGCATGACATTATTTTATAAAATGGAATGATTATTTGATATTATGGAGTATGGATCATCATATCGTGGAGTATGACATTATTCTTCTTGGCTTTGTATTCTGTTACAGATGAACCATAGGAGGGGTTTGATCTCTTGTGATGTTTGCATTAGGTAAGATGTGCTTTCAATTTATCAATTTCCTATTTGTATATATCTTTCCTAACAATAGTTGAATTTTGAATACAGAACCTAATAATATAAGACGTCTGTCAGTTCGGTAAGGTGCTATACTACATATACAGCCAGCAGCTTTGGAAATCCTTTTGTGTTTGGTTCTATGTTATACACGTTTCAAGTAAGATGTTTAGGTTCCTGTAGTTATTGTTGATGTGAGCACCAGTTGCTATGGTTCTTAGGGGGATGCATGAAGTAGAATAATATGCATGTTTTTGGCACTACAAAATGTTTGTACGGGCTTGTTCATGCAGGATATGAGTCGCCAATCCATTCAAGAATTTGTCACACAATGTCACTTGCTCCAAGACTTTTGAAGCAACCAACATGACCAAGCTCTGTAAGTTTTATCTTTTGCCTTCTTGCGGATGATGCATGCATATCAGTAAGGGACATTTTTTTCATTTTCTTCATTCATGGTGCTTGATTGAACGATTGATCTCTCCCAGCTTTCATCAATTTGTCGTGGCTACCGTGTGTTATTTTATGTGGTAGTAGTAGTCCGCACTGTTTGGTGGTCTTAAAGTGCGTGATGGCCACCACAGAACTTTAATAGATGCTTTTTAATTGCTTACATAATATGTTATTCATGATATGGTAATCAACATTGATTGTGTGCTTGCTTTTCCTTTATTTGGAATCTACTTTTGAATAGGCAGGGAGATGGTAAGAAGCATCTTGGCCACCGGTGGATGAGCAGATGCCAAATTTTCTTGCAAGGCATCCTGCTGTATCGTAAGGAGCAGCCTTTCCTTCTGTGACTAGGAGGGCGTAGATTGAAGCAATCGATGAAGAGGGAACATTTTGGGCTATCAAACGGGGACAACCATTTTAATGTCAATCTTAAAGCCAGCCACACTTGTTTAGGATCTCTATCGGTACGTTCACGATGAAGTGTTTTGTTCGGCTACATAATTCCGATGCTTATGTTTCGATAAAATTGACGGTGAGAGTTTACGGGTTTCTTCGTTCAGCTCTTTTTGGTGTATGAGCTTATGCATTTGGATAATTTTGATTCCTCAAACATGATTGATAATTTAGAAGAAATAAAATATTAATTTTGATTATATTAAGTTTTCTTTATGCTAGGTTAAGGGATCAAGCTTGGCATGTGAAGCCAAGTGAAATAGATGATTTTGTACTACGATGATAATAATAAAGCTGTAAAGTCTTAATTATTTAAGCTTTACTCGATCTTTTGATATTATTGAGATATGTAAAGAAATTATATTTGTAGTTAAAATAATGTGTTTTAGTCTTTGTAATTTTCAATCAGTTTATGACTTATCCTTCAAATTCAAGGGTTTTAAGATAGATACTGGTGTTGGTGGAAGAGTAGATAATATCCTTCAGCTCCTCGTAGTATTTGTACAGAATACTCGATGGCTTTGCTTTAAATAGTATGCCATCAGAGCCCAAAAATATTTGACATGAACAATAAATGAACTCATTAAAGTGATACTTATGAACTTCCAAGTGATGGCTGTACATGTCGTGAGATGGCAATCATAATTACTTGACTTCTTGTTGTCGCATTGCCGGAAGTTGTGTTTGTGCGGGATCGGGCATCATGGGCTTCCGACTAGCTTACTGGTAGAAGATGGACGGGTATGATTGGATCGTCACATGGCCTTATCGTCGGTGTCGTATGGACATTTGAGCGTGGGGACTTTGTGCATGATGGAGGAGTAACCTTAAGTCCCAATCTTTTCATTATTGCACGATCATTTAAAACGAGTAAAATATGTCCGATTCAATTAGCTAATAAAGCATTATGTTGAATTATGCTTACATGATCCTACGTTACGTTTCGAGTTTTGACAAAGTCACGCTGGTAGTTTTTCCACGTGTTCGATTGTTTATTACCTCACTTTCATACGAAATTTTGGAGAGGTTTGATTGGGCATATTTTGGCATTGCTCACGTGGAACCAAGTAAGCAGACACACCGATGCAAACGTGGAACCTCAAGTACAATGTGGCGCGCATCACACACGTGGTGGGTAGCTGCTTGCCGTCACCTCCGTACGAACGACATCATCACGGTACAGCCATCCCGGAAAGGTCGGGGCAGCGCCGCACGACACTGATCTGTGTAGGTCGGTCGGCGCTCGTATAGAAGCTTAAGTCGGCTGTTGCCCGAGGAGCCGGCCACAGTGAATTGACCTCATACGACCAACTCATCCCCGTAGGTATAAAAGCTAACCCTTCTTAATCAGGGGAGAGAGGCACTTCGAACAGTGAACTTTCTCTCATTCCACCAAAAGCTAACTTAAGCTTCAGATGGGTCGAGTCGGGAAATCCCTCTCTCGACCTCGACCTATGTGCAGGAGCTCAACGATGGAAAAGCAAGCCACTCGCCAAGAGAGAAGACCGCGCTCGGGGGACGAGGCTTGAACCCGACCTGACACTCTCCCTCATCACTCGAGCATCTGCGTGGGTGACCTTGTGTATCCGGGACCAGACCGAGCTGTGCTGACACCTCGACTACGACGTAAAGTTTCACTAACATTTTGGCACTAGAAGGAGGGCCCTGATGCCATAAGATCATCCCCAGCCAAGCAATTCCAACCGAACACCTTGGAGAGGAGCCATTCCCAATACACTCAACCTTCGGATTTGGAGGATGACTCCCACCTCCTTCGAGCCTAGAAGAAAATGCCCCTACTATAACCCCGAGCCGCTATTAGCGGCTGTTCATCGACCCCAAGTTGTCACCCCCCGAGGCCACCATAGGACAACTTCTTGTCTCTACCGAGGCGTTCCTTAGCCTCATGCATCAAGTTCAAGCCTAGGCAAAAATGATGCAGACCATCATCCCCCTTGTTCCTTAGCTTGCCCGGCAATCAACGTTACCTCAATCATCGCAACGAGATCCGTCGGCTCTTGTCCCCATGCCACCGATGGCCCCTCAACAACCTGCCATGGCAAACGTTACCCCATCGCCCGAAGAGCTATTGAGTAATCCAAGGCCACCACCCGAGCACAACGCTCAAGACCTCCGATGATCCTACTCGAGCGCCCCCGAGCTTGACACACTGTCATCCAATTCGGCGAACTCTTTCTAGGCTCAGCTACACTCGGTCAATCGACATCTTGATAAGGTCTAAAAGGAGTTTCACAAATCCAAGGTAGAGCTCGGTGAGGCTCCCCCAACATGAACCTAATTTGTGCAAGAGATTCAGGAAAAGCTGACCTTGCAAAACTTCTGCCTTCCTGTGCTTGAGCCTTACGAAGGTAGCTTCAACCTAGCAAAGCATGTCGCTGCTTTTCGGGCCCAGATGACCCTATACGACACTTTGGATGCCCTGAAGTGCCTCAGTGGTGCACCTCGGCTCAAAAGTACCCGAGTTGTGCACCTCGGCCAAACAGTGCCCGAGTTGGGCACCCCAGCCAAATAGTGCCTCAATGGTGCACCTCGGCCAAACAATGCCTCAATGGTGCACCTCAGCCAAACAGTGTCCGAGTTGTGCACCTCGGTCAAACAGTGCCCAAGTTGTGTACCTCAGCCAAACAGTGCCTCAATGGTGCACCTCAGCCAAACAGTGTCCGAGTTGTGCACCTCGGTCAAACAGTGCCCAAGTTGTGTACCTCAGCCAAACAGTGCCTCAATGGTGCACCTCAGACCAAAAGTGTCTGAGTTGTGCACCCCGACCAAATAGTGCCTCATTGGTGCACCTAGGCCAAACAGTGCCTCAATGGTGCACCTCGGCCAAACAGTGTCCGAGTTGTATACCTCAACCAAACAGTACCTTAATGGTGCACCTCGGCCTAAAAGTGCTCGAGTTGTGCACCTCGACCAAACAGTGCCCGAGTCGTGCACCTCGGTCAAACAGTGCCTCAATGGTGCACCTCGCTCAAACAGTGCCTCATTAGTGCACCTCGGGCAAATAGTGTCTCAATTGTGCATCTTGGCCAATCCAACACCCGAGCCACACCTCGCGGCCAGTCTAAGGCCCGAGTCGCATCTCGGCCAGTCCAATGCTCGAGCCACGCCTCGCGGCCAGTCTAATGCCCGAGTCACATCTCGACCAATCCAATGCCCGAGCCATGCCTCGCAGCCAATCTAAATGCTCGAGACGCATCTCGACCAGTCCAACGCTTGAGCCATGCCTCGCGGCCAATCTAATGCCCGAGTCGCATCTCGGCCAATCCAACGCCCGAGCCACGCATCGCGGCCAGTCTAATGCCCGAGTCGCATCTCAGCCAGTCCAATGCCCAAGCCACACCTCGCGACCAGTTTAATGCCCGAGACGCATCTCGACCAATCCAACGCCCGAGCCACGCCTCGTGGATAATATAATGCACGAGTCACATCTCGGTTAGTCCAATGCCTAAGCCACGCCTCGCAGCCAGTCTAATGCCCGAGTTGCATCTCAACCAAATCCAACGCACGAGCCACGCTTCGCTGCTAGTCAAATGCTCGAGCCACGCCTCATGGCCAGTCCAATGTCCGAGTTGCATCTTGGCAAGTCCAACGCCCGAGTAGTGTTGCTTGACCAGTCCATCCCCCGAATAGAAGCTCACGATCAATCGATGACCGAACCACCACTCCTAGCACGACAACCAACCCAGCCAACAAAAGGCACCAAGCCATGCCCCACACCACCCACCCACCCCCCAAGAGAATGATAGGGCATATTTTGGCATCGCCCACGTGGACCTAGGCAAGCAAACACGACGATGCAAACGTGGAACCTCAAGTACGATGTGGCACGCAGCACACATGTGGTGGGCAGCCGCTTGTCACCCCCTCTGTACAAACGACATCATCACGGTACAGTCATATAGGAAAGCTCGGGGTGGCGCCGCATGGAGCTGATCCGTTCAGGTCGGTCGATGCTCGTACATAAGCTTAAGTCGATCGCCGCTCGAGGAGCCGACCTTAGTGAATTGACCCTATACGACCAACTCATCCTCAGAGGTATAAAAGCTGACCCTCCTTACTCAGGGGGGAGAGGCACTTCGAACACTGAACTCTCTCTCATTCCACCAAAAGCTAACTTAAGTTTCGGAGGGGTCGAGTCGGGAAATCTCCCTCCTGACCTCGACCTATGTGCAGAAGCTCAATGATGGAAAAGCAGGTCACTCGCCAAGAGAGAAGATCGCGCTCGGGGGATGAGGCTCAAACTCGACCCGACCCGACACTCACCCTCACCACCTAAGCATCCGCGTGGGCGACCTTGCACATCCGGGATCTAACCGAGCCATGCTGATACCTCGACCACGACGTAAAGGTTCATTAACAGTTGACCCTTTGCAATTTAAGATATTATAGGGCTCATGCAAAACTAACCCTATAATAATCTTAGTCGATAGTAATTAGAGTTTTTTTTTTCGAAATAATATAAAATTTTATTTGCTAAAAAGGAACTTGAGTTTATTAGATGCATATAAATCAGGTTTTGGATACACGAGGTCAAATTTACTTTACTCGGATTTCGATTGATTTCCAGTAAAAAAAATATGCATCCAAAGAAGGTGGGTTTAATAAACCAAATAAACAATGGATTTAGGTAAAATAAAGTTTATAAGAATTCAAATGCTCCAATCTTCTAATAAACTCTTCTAAATCAGATATGAGTATCTTTGGAGCAAATTGGTGCATACAAAGCAATCAATCGGATCTTAATAGCTAAGTAGCTAATCAAATTTAAGTTTATAGGTAAATTATATATTACCCTATGTATTTGGGCTCTATTATCATCGTGATTTTTATACTTAAACAATGATATTAAATTCTATATAATTTTAAAAATAAAATAAATAACTCCATTGGTCTTAATATTATTAGTTGTATTGACACAAAACCGTAACACTACGTGTTGGATTAACGTGAAAATAATAAGTAAAAAAGTAATTCAACATCATTTTCTTTCCAACAATTATATCGAAAAAAATCAAAATAATTTTGTTCATTATTTTTACATCAAATATAACGTGTTGTATTTTTCGTCAATATAACTGACGGTGTTAAGACAAACACGATTATTTATTTTATTTTTAAAATTATAAAAATTTTATTTAAATATTTGAAGTATAAAAAT